TTCTTCCTTCTTCCTTCTTTCTTCTTTCTTTCTCCAATACAATGAAAAGAGGCTGTTGGCAGTTTTCAGTATATTTCAATATAATGTTTACTTTTAGAAACTTCAATGTTTTAACTTTATTTAATGAACTATATATTTCATGATCCTCCATTACCTTCTCATGTAAAAATGTAAACTGCATTGGTAATTTACCATGGCACTAAATATTGTGCTTTATGATACTATATCCTTGAAATATGGCAGGTATTTAATTGTTTGCCGCCTATGTCTACCATAAACAGAGTGGAAGAGGATATCTTAGACCAGTATCTGCACTTGAGTGGAGAAGCCAGAGATATTCCCCATGACTGTTTTTGAAATGCACATGACAAATCATACTTACAGTGTCCACAATGCACATGCATTGCATGCTCTGTACTGTTCATTAGTTGGATGAAGTAGAAACATCTTAATAAAGAATAACAGAAGGTAATCTCCTAAGAAGACAGCTTCCTCTTTCTCATTTTCTCCTCTTCCTCCTTCTAGATGGGAGTTCCTGGCAATGTTGTAGTAGTGCTCTGTCATTACTTCTCCTGGGATTTTTTTTTCAACTTTCCAGTTCTAGATTATGCCTTGGAATTCAGCATTCCATATAAACATCCCCTTTGTGTAATAACTGCTGCTGCTGCTGTTCCTCCTCCTCCTCCTCCTCCTCCTCCTCCTCCTTCTTTTTTGTCAGCTACTAAAATAGGTTATGTGGATGTCAAACTGTTCAATTTTGGCCAAATCTGATCCTACCTTCTCTAACTCATCCAATGCAGCAAGTTTCCTGAATTTCATAAACCTGGAATGCATACTTACTGAGAAGATAATAATGCCAAAAAACTTTAAATTCTTTCAAAGGTATGCCTTTCAAGATCAATAAGACACAGTGAGATTAATGCTTCATTTGAACACGTGTTTGTATGGTGGCCTATAATGGTTCCTTAGATGTATTAACTCAACTGAGAGACAAGATTTAGTATTTTCAGATGGTCATATTATTTTTGAACAATATTTCCACTACACTGAACTGGACATCTGGACAAGAGACTTATTCTTCTACATTGGAAGGATAAACATATTGATGTACATTAGCTATGTATGATTATAATGAAATATGGTTACCATTATTGCAATATTTATGCAGAAGTACACACATAGATATATCTATGAATATATCCCTTGAATTTTTGTTTAATATAGCCTTCTTTCATATTCCTTTTTAAAATAAGTTGTGTATTATTTTTCCTATTGGATTGTGTTTATTTATAAAGAGCAAAATGATGATGATGATGATGATGATGATGATGATGATGACATTTTCATTCACAGCCTTGATGTTTCTAATTTTTCCAGAAAGCTTCAAATAAATAAAAATGAATAAATATCTCCTCATTGAGAAATCACCTTTTCCTTCTGTCCTTTAATGAGAAATTTGGTTTTCTAGGAAATTAGTTGCCCAACTGCTTTATCTGTAAAATATTATTTAGACACATTCCTTATACTGTGTTTCTCATTCAGTTTTTCAGGAAAACCCGAGAACAGCTATTCCTCCAGTAGACTAAAGCTAGCACTACAAGAATGTATCATTTACAGAGCCATAATTCATTTTTCTCTCTTTATTAGTTGTTCCTTTTTGTTCAAGTCTGGCCTTAGCGCAATAACATAGCATTTGGGGGAAAAGATGCAGCCCAGTAATCCAGCTGCAGAAGCCAAAATAGAGAAGATCTCCACAGCAACTGTGTATTTGCCCTTGGTGCTTAGGTAGGCAGGAACAAATGACACCCAGACACTGCAAAAGACCAACATGCTGAAGGTGATGAATTTAGCTTCATTGAAGCTGTCAGGTAACTTCCTAGCTAGGAAGGCTACTGTAAAGCTGATAGAAGTCAAGAACCCCAGAAAACTAAGAACAGTATAAAACATAGTGGTTGAACCTTCATTACATTGCAGGACAATTTCTTCAGCCATGGAGAGCATGTCAGAATCTGGGAATGGGGGAAACATTGCTAACCACACTACACAAAAGGTGAATTGTGCTAGGGAGCAAGATAGGACAATAGTGTTGGCCAGCCTTTTCCCCACCCACTTCCTCATTTTGGAGCCCGGCCTGGTGGCCATGAAAGCAAGAACCACTATGGTCGTTTTCCCCAATATGCAAGAAATGGCTACAGAGAAGATGATGCCAAAAGCAGTTTGTCTCAAGAGACATTTCACTTGGTCAGGTTGGCCAATGAAGAGCAAAGTGCAAAGGAACGAGAGCAAGAGGGCAATGAGAAGAATGTAGGTGAAGTTCCTGTTGTTGGCTTTGACTATGGGGGTGTCCCGCTGTTTAATGAAGATTCCCAGCACCAAAGTTGTGATGAAAGAAAAGAAGAGACTGACAGTGGCCAAGGTGATTCCCAGTGGCTCACTGTAAGACAAGAATATTATTTGTTTTAGAATGCAAAGATTTTGTGCCTTGTTTGGATACTGATCTTCTGAACATTGGAAGCAATCAACTGCATCTGGAAAAAGAAAACATCATGGTCAATTCCTGAAATACTAAGGTAGTGGGTCCAGGAGTCAGTTAATGGGATTCATTTATTCCTAATTAAGTAATCCCTGTTTATATTTAGTGCCATGCTGTAAGTATGCCAAAACATCTGAGAGTTAGATATTGCTTTGTAGTAAGGACTCTCCTTATTACAAAATCTAATAATGATTTGTGTAATAATCTTTTATTATTCAGAACTTTCATGAAAAAATGAAAAGCAAAAATGGTTTTGGTTTAGATGGAGAAGGAAAATGTATATTACATGGTATACTATTATTTAATGGAATCAACTTCTTACATTCAGCAATTAGATTCAAACTCTATCCTGTTCCTCTTTTACAGTTATATATATTTCTATTTGAGGAAGATCCCTCATTTAGCAAAAGAAAAAGGGTTTTATTAAGCTGATCTTTTCTTTATTCAGTTTTGATTAATCAGAATCCATCATCTGGAACAGTGTAGAAGAACCCAGATTGGACGTTTATTTTTGGATGTTCTGAAATATCCCTTCATTTTTAATATTTATACAACATTAACATTGGTTCAGTCACCACATGATCAGCTGTAGGATGGAGATTTAGCCAAACCATGTGAGATACAAAAAGGAAAAAAGACAAGGTTGCCCACTGTCCCCTCTTCTGTTTATTTTACTTCTTGAAATATTGAATAGAGATGTAAGACAAGATGAGAGGATTGTGGGTGTAAAAATTTAAAAAGGGCCATAAAAGCTGAGAGCTTTTGCAGATGATTTGATTTTGATTTTGGCAGATCCTTTAAAGGGAACTGAACTATTAATGAGCAAATTAAAAGAATTTGGGGCCTTAGCAGGTTTCAAGGTTAACGAATAGATGACAAAAATGTTAACAATAAACATGAAGATACAAGATCAAACAGTATTGATGAAGACAACGTTTCCTAAGATTGAGAAGAAGGTAAAAATACTTGGGTATTACTATGAGAAATATGAATTTTATGTTATTTCAAAATAACTATGTTAAGAAATGGAACGAAGTTAAAAAAGATATGTCAAGATGGGACAAAATACAACTGTTGGGGAGAATTTCTGTGATTAAGATGTTTTACCTAGAATTTTATTGTTGTTTCAGACAATACCTGTTTTGACAACTGATGTGCCATTTCAACAATGGGAGAAGGATATATCTAAATTTGTATGGTGGGGGAAAAAACCCAAAGTTAAGTATAAGGTAGTACAAGATGCAAAGAAAGAGGAGGACTGGGTCTATCAGATTTGAAACTATATTTTGCTGCCTGTTGTTTAGCTTGGATGAAAGAGTTGGGTGTTGGTAAGAAATAGAAGGCTATTGGAGTCAGAAGGACATGATCTGAGATTTGGGTGGCATGGATATTTATGGTATGGCAAAGCTAAATTTAATGGGGATTTCAAAAATTGTACATGTCAGGCAGACCATTCTTAGAGTATGGAATAAAGATAGATTTAGGTTATGCCTAAAAACACGTTTGTGGCTTTCAACCTAAGAAGCATTTTATAGACAAGAAATGATAAGTAAACATACATGGTTAACTTATTGTGATGTACTAGAATTTTCTCAAGGGGATTGTAAAACAAAATCAAGAGAAGAATTAGTAGCAGAAAGATATACATACATATAAATGGTTTTCCTAAGTACAATTATCAGAAAGGTTTAAAGTAGAGTCCTTGATGTTCTCTGAGCTTGGTTGTTTTCTTGCAAATATTTTGTTACCTGACTAGGTAACATCTTCACAGCTAGAAGGAGTGGGGTTTTCTCTCTGTTTATAAACAGTAGGTTGCCCTATCACTGTTAGTGAGGGTATAGTCTTTTTTTCCTTGGTAGTTCCTAGATTAGGCTATTGTTTACTGCTTGATTGTTTGTCTTAGTTGGTAGTCCCTTGATTAGGGTATTGTTTACTGCTTGATAGTTTGTCTGGTGTTAATCCTGGTGTTAATCCCTTTTTATCTGAGTATTGATTGCTGGCAAGGTGGTGTTTTGGTCTTTTTCTTTCCTTTTTGGCTTTTTATTGTCTCTTTTGAATGGTGTGCAAATGTCATTTATCTCTATGTGCCTGTTGATGGTTGACTTGTCTGAATACCAAGGAATTAGCTTGCATCCTTGGATTTAGTTTAGTCTAAGATGCTGACAGTTTCCCAGTTGAAACTGGGTCTTTTGGTTTACTTAAGATGTTCTGGAGGGCTTTAGTTGGTTTGTGTGCTACAGTAATGCTGTGTGGTTTTTATAGTCTGTTGATTGTTTCTGAGATGTTTCTGATGTATGGTAGTGTTATCCTTTTCATAACTTGTGTTGATAGTGCTGTAATGAGTTGAGAGGTCAGGTAACTTGATAAAGTTGCATGGGTATCCATTTTGTTGGAAAATGTTGTATGGGTGGTCTGTTTCCTTGCTCTGCTGTTCTGGGTTGCTGCAGTGCATTTGTGCTCATCTGAATAATGTTCTTAAACAGCTTCTCTTGTGGGACATTGAGTTGGAGCACTTGGTTAGTTTGGATTGTTTTTCAATAGGCTTGTGTTTCTAATTTGTCATCATTTCCTCTGCGGATGTGCATATCCAGGAAGGGTAGTATGTTGTTATTTTCTTCTTCTCTTGTAAAATGTATTTCTTTAAAGATGTTGTTGATTGTTTCATGTGTCTTTTCTACTTGTTCCTTTTTTATTATTATGAAGGTGTCTACATACAGGATGCATACTTCTGGTTATATGTGTGGAAGTGCTAGATGCTGTATTACAATCTCTGCTATAAGTCCTGAGAGTAGTCATCCAATGGGTGTTCCTCTGATTTGTTGGTATGTTTGTCCATCAAACTGAAAATTGGTAGTGAGGCAGAGGTTGATGAGGTCCGTGATTCTGGGTATTTCAATCTGGGCGTATTTGGTTAGGTTGGATGTGCTGTGTAGTACTGCTGCCATGGATTCTTTTACTAGTTCTGGGTCTATGGATGTAAAGAGTGCTGTGACATGAAATGAAACCATAATTTCAGCTTCACTATCTGTTTTCAGTTCGATGGACAAATATACCAACAAATCAGAGGAACACCCATGAAACAGAACTATGTACAAATTATGAATGTTATTGATAAGATGTATAAACTTCTGTTGAAGCATGAGATAGAAGAACAAATGAAAGAATGTATGATAAAATGGGCTGAAAATTTTGACTGTAATATACAAATAGATCAGTGGGAAAATATGTGGTTAAAGCAATTGAAATTTACATTATGCTCTAGCCTTAAAGAGAATTTTTATAAAATGGTGTATCATTGGTATTTGTCACCAGAGAAATTGCCTAGAATGTATAAAGATACTTCCAATCTTTGCTGGAAATGTGAACAACATGAAGAGACTTTTTATCATGTATAGTGGATGTGTAAAAAAAACCCAAAAAGTTTTGGATACAAATAAATACAGTAATTCAGAATATTTTAAAGACTAATGTACAATTGCAACCAGATATTTTCCTTTTGGAATTAATGGACAGATAGCTAAAAAAAAGCAAGGAACTTTGTTTTTATAGATCACAACTGCAGTGATATTGTTATATGCTCAGAAGTGGAAAAGTTTGACGCTACCTACAATAAAGGAGTGGTTGCTGAAGATGATGGGACTTGCAGAGGTGGTGAAATTGATTTCTTTGATCATAGAAAAAACAATAATCTCTATTTAATGCTGACCGCAAACCCTTTATACAACTTTTGCATGAAGCAGAAAATAATGCACTTATGACTTGTGTTTTTGATTATTAGAGAAAAATCCATAATAAAAATGAGTGATTTTTTTTATTATCATAGAGCAAGGGATACCTTTGCAATCATACTTATATTTGCGGCAAAGGAAATCGGAAACTTCTTTCTATTTCTTGTTCTCTTTTCTTTCTGCCCTTTTGTCTTCTGTCTTTTCTTTCTCTTTTTGTATCTTTGCTTTCTTTATTCTGTATTAGTTTCTGTTATTTTTTATGTTTTTTTTAACTTTTATTAAAATTTATATATTAAAAAAAGAAGTCAGCTGTAGGAGGTTTAAATATTAGTATTATGAATCACAGTTAAGAAGTCTGAATAGTTTGCACAAGACAACTCTTACCCATCTGGTTTGAAATTTTCCCTTTTGCACACGGAAGGCAATCATAACAGCAAAATGGCCTCCCGTCTATTTTCTTCTTACTGTAGCCTGAATAGCAATTGTCATTGCATACAGAAAGAGGTGGAACCTGTCAAGAAGTGAAAGGAGGATTAATAAAAGTCATAGGTTTTTTAACAGAAAATTCTATTTCAGTGTGGATTTTACTTTAAATAATGAATGTAGGAGGTAGCTGTCCCAAATCTTATATTTTACAGCAATTATATTAAATGGATGGAAGTATTGCAGGGAATGAGAGCTAGCATCAAAACTGAAGATAGGAACACTAAGAATTGGAGACATGAGGATATCATCATTTGGCAAGGTGAAAGTAAAGATCCAGGAAAAAATTGTACTCCATGTATAAAAGAGCTGGAAATAGAGATGAATGATTTTTTCCCCCTGAATTTCCATTCCTTTCTCTACTTTGGCTACAGCAATGGCCAGGTGTTCTGTCTGGACCATGACTAACATAGTCCTTGACATGGGATTCTCCCATTTCTTTTTCTTTTGCATCCATGCCCAGAAAGTAAGCACCAATTGCTTTCTTTGGGTGGTCATGACTAGTGGAAAAACAAGCAAACTAGGAGCTACAGTTTTATCATTCTTCCTGTCATTTTGGGAATAAAGGGGAACTTGGCAGAATATCCACCCATCCATCCATCCATCCATCCATCCATCCATCCATCCATCCATCCCCAGTATTCATCTCTCTATCCAGAAGGACAGGAAGGCCTGGCGCAATATGGTTCATGGGGTCACGAAGAGTCGGACACGACTTAACGACTATTGCTCTGCTGATTCATTTTTTTAAACAAGCATCATTTCACCATTCCACCACCTACTCCATAACAAAAAAGCAATCAGGCAGCCCAGAATCCCTGTATGAAAGACCATGGAAGAAAGAAAGCAGAGCCTGAGGATGATGTGTGGGGATCCTTGCCAGAGTAGACCAATATTTATATGAAATACAGCAGATGGGGGAAACATTGCTTTTGATGTAGGGAAAGAAAACGTGACTAGAAACAGCCTTCCAACCACCCTAGGGACAGGCTAAGGATAATCTTATTAATTCCTGTGCACCCAAGATGGTGGTTGGCCCATCCTGTTGCTGGAGCAAGGAAGAAGGGTGTTCAGCCCTCAATAGGAAAGTAAAAGAGAAAATGAAAAATCTGGGTTAAAACCTAAGGGAAAAAAGGTAACATCTATCTGCATATTTGTATGAACATTAGAGAGCAAGAAGAGAAAGGCTGCTAAGAAGTTTGTTTACCAGGACTCCAGAGCAGGTAAAGATGGACAGTAGGCAGGACACACGTAGAAGAGATTAACCTTAGGAAAGAAACCAAGGACAACTTTAACAAGAAGACGAATGAGGTGGATATTTCAGTGCCAACTACAATAAGCCAGTTAAAGGGATGGTGTTGCCAGCTGTAATGCATGGCTTGGAAATGTGGACATTGAGGATGAGCAAGAAAGAAAAAGTAGATAGCTGCAAATGATACATATCTAGACTATTACCAAGAACACCACAGAATGCAAGAAGAACTAATCTATCCTGGATCAAATAGAGGCTGACTGCTCCTCAGATAATTTAATTAGCAAATGGGAACTCCAAATATCTGGATATGCAATTCAAGGAAAGGGAAGCCTGGGGGGAAAATACTATATTTGACAAGGTTGAAGGAGAATAGGAAGACAATGCATTAGCTGAAAGGATGGGATCAAAACAATTGCTTGAATATCTGGGAAAGAGTGATGTGTTATTATGTCAAGATGGTGAGCATTTATCCATATAGTCACTAGGAGGAGAACCCAACTCAGAGGCACCTAATAACCATCAACTAGAATATGTCCTCAAG